CAGAACATTATCATGTTAAAATGTCCCTTTCTGGTTCAACTTCAACTCTTTGACAGTTGTCCTCACATTGATATGATGCAGAATACACAGCTGATTGAATGACTACAGGCTGCTCAGACTCTGAAGCAGCAATGCAACTCCAATCCACAACATCTCTACCACCATGCTTCACAGTTGGTATGAGGATTTTCTCCTAAAATGCTGTCTTTGGTTTTTGGCAAACATGTCTATTGTTACTGCTACAAAACAACTCTATCTCTGCTGATTTCTTCAGCACATTGTTCCAGAAGGTCTGGACTTTGATGGTGAGGTCTTCAGAACATTGTTCCAGAAGGTCAAGACTTTGATGGTGAAGTCTTCAGAACATTGTTCCAGAAGGTCTGGACTATGATGGCTCAGTCCTCAGAACATTGTTCCAGAAGGTCTGGAATTTGATGGCCCAGTTTTCAGAACATTGTTCCAGCACGTGTGGACTTTGATGGGGAGGTCTTCAGAACATTGTTCCAGAAGGTCTGAACTTTGATGGGAAGGTCTTCAGAACATTGTTCCAGAAGGTCTGGAATTTGATGGGGAGGTCTTCAGAACATTGTTCCAGAAGGTCTGGACTTTGATGGGGAGGTCTTCAGAACATTGTTCCAGAAGGTCTGGATTTTGATGGGGAGGTCTTCAGAACATTGTTCCAGAAGGTCTGGACTTTGATGGGGAGGTCTTCAGAACATTGTTTCAGAAGGTCTGAACTTTGATGGGGAGGTCTTCAGAACATTGTTCCAGGAGGACTGGACTTTGATGGTGAGGTCTTCAGAACATTGTCCCAGACGGTCTGGACTTTGATGGGAAGGTCTTCAGAACATTGTTCCAGATGGCCTGGACTTTGATGGGGAGGTTTTCAGAACATTATTCCAGAAGGTCTGGACTATGATGACTCAGTCCTCAGAACATTGTTCCAGAAGGTCTGGACTATGATGACTCAGTCCTCAGAACATTGTTCCAGAAGGTATGGACTTTGATGGGGAGGTCTTCAGAACATTGTTCCAGAAGGGCTGGACTTTGATGGGGAGGTCTTCAGAACATTGTTCCAGAAGGTCTGGACTTTGATGGGAAGGTCTTCAGAACATTGTTCCAGAAGGTCTGGACTTTGATGGGGAGGTCTTCAGAACATTGTTCCAGAAGGTCTGGACTTTGATGGTGAGGTCTTCAGAACATTGTTCCAGAAGGTCTGGACTTTGATGGTGAGGTCTTCAGAACATTGTTCCAGATGGCCTGGACTTTGATGGGAAGGTCTTCAGATCATTGTTCCAGAAGGACTGGACTTTGATGGTGAGGTCTTCAGAACATTGTTCCAGAAGGTCTGGTCTTTTATGGACTAGTCTTCAGCACGCCATTCCAGAAGATCTAGTCTTTTACTAAATGTTCATTGCCTAACTGGAATCTTCTCTAGTGTTCTTTTGGACAGCAGTTTTTTCTTAACACATCTCTCATGTGAATTGAATCGGTGAAATTTCCTTCTGATTCTAGCAGCACTTTGACCCCAACCATTGCAAGAGTTACCTGAAAACCCCGCAATGAAATGGGGTTCTGGGAGACTTTTAGCATCCAACAGTCAGCTCTTGGGTTGAATTTGCTCGGTAGGCCAGTTCTGGACTAATTAGCCGTTTGAAATCTATGCCACTTGTAGATCATTTTCCATACCAAGGAATGATTGATTTCAAATCTCTTTAAATCCCTTCAAAGACTCTTAGACATGTACAAATTTTTTTCTGAGGACCTTAGAGAGCTCTATTGATCTCAGCATGATGACACCACATACGTCAACAGCAAAGAGAACAGCAGACCAGAGATGTCTGAGAGTTCAAAAAGAAAAGTTTCACCTGCACACTCCTTAAATAGGTTCTAATAATTGCCACCTAATCTGGAACATCGGAACATTATACATATTATAACCTGGAACACAGGATGGTAATTCCATGGCCAGAATGGAGGTAACAAGAATGGAGGTAACAGCTGGGGCGTACTTCTTCTATGGAACAAATCGACATTTTCCTTCATTTAGGGATACACAGTGTCAGCTTTATGGTCCTTCATTGACCTTTATCTGTGAGCAATATTGGGATGAAGATCTCACATTCGTCTGTTCGCATGAAATGAAATGGTCAGCAGTTCCCATGGGGATGGACTTACATGTCCACATGACTCTCGATATAAAGGTAAATCATTGCAAGACATTTCATAAAAATAGAATTAACCCAAACCTTTACAGTTTCTTATTAGTTTGACCCCAACACTTGACCCCAACATTTGATTCCATCACTTGACCCCAACACTTGACCCTAACACTTGATTCCATCACTTGACTCCATAACACCCATCAAATCTCAAACGCTAAAGCAACCTTCGATCTGATGAGCCCTTATGGTGTCTCCAGCAGCCCCCAGGTGCCAATAAATAACAAATGGGCTCCTTTATTTTATACATTTACAGACAATGTGACTTATGGAGCCATCTACACGGAGAAGAGATATAGGAACAATACTACATGTATGTATATATATTGGTCTGGGGGGAGGGGGGGGGTGATGTCTCTGGAAATCAGCTGAAAACCAGCCAGGAACGAAGACATTTTGAAAGAATGCCAGAAACGGAGACAATGAATTTAAGTTAGCAGACATTTTCTGATGCAACACGACAGAACAACAAATGTGAGATGTTCAGACAGATGGCAGCCTTCCATCTGCAGAGGAACTACATTTCCCAGCAAGCACTGCAAGACTTGATTCTCCATCTAGAGGAACCAAAGTCCAACAAAGTGCTTGGGCATCCTCTAGGACCATGGCTGTGAAGGATCTGCAAGTTCTGTCTGGTACAAAACTATTAGCCTTGCAAGACGCTGGCATCCCGATGGACTACATGCCTTCAGCCTTCGCAGAGTCCTTGTAGGATCCGAATATTGACACGGGATCCAGGAACTGAAAGCTCTTTACAATTGCTGGAACATGTAGTTCATCCAGAGTTGCAGAACCAAATGCTGCTGAGACTCGATGAAGGCGGTAGTTCCAGAACTGCTTCTTGGATACTGAAATTCTGTCCATGGTTGGTGGCTATGAGGAGACTTGTGGTTCTATTGCAGCTACATGAAACCTGACTTATCCTCCTATAGAAGAGTCCCTCCAGTACTCGGGCTATAGGGTGCAAGTCCCACCACTACAAGAGGTGCCGAGTCCCACCGCTACAAGAGGTGCCGAGTCCCACCGCTACAAGAGTTGCCGAGTCCCACCGCTACAAGAGGTGCCGAGTCCCACCGCTACAAGAAGTGCCGAGTCCCACCGCTACACAAGGTGCCGAGTCCCCCCGCTACAAGAGGTGCCGAGTCCCACCGCTACACAAGGTGCCGAGTCCCACCGCTACACGAGGTGCTGAGTCCCACCGCTACAAGAGGTGCCGAGTCCCACCGCTACAAAGAGGTGCCGAGTCCCACCGCTACAAGAGGTGCCGAGTCCCACCGCTACAAGAGGTGCCGAGTCCCACCGCTACAAGAGGTGCCGAGTCCCACCGCTACAAGAGGTGCCGAGTCCCACCGCTACAAGAGGTGCCGAGTCCCACCGCTACAAGAGGTGCCGAGTCCCACCGCTACAAGAGTTGCCGAGTCCCACCGCTACAAGAGGTGCCAAGTCCCACCGCTACACGAGGTGCCGAGTCCCACCGCTACAAGAGGTGCCGAGTTCCACCGCTACAAGAGGTGCCGAGTCCCACCGCTACAAGAGGTGCCGAGTTCCACCGCTACAAGAGGTGCCGAGTCCCACCGCTACAAGAGGTGCCGAGTTCCACCGCTACAAGAGTTGCCGAGTCCCACCGCTACAAGAGGTGCCGAGTCCCACCGCTACAAGAGGTGCCGAGTCCCACCGCTACACAAGGTGCCGAGTCCCCCCGCTACAAGAGGTGCCGAGTCCCACCGCTACAAGAGTTGCCGAGTCCCACCGCTACAAGAGGTGCCGAGTCCCACCGCTACAAGAGTTGCCGAGTCCCACCGCTACAAGAGGTGCCGAGTCCCACCGCTACAAGAGGTGCCGAGTCCCACCGCTACAAGAGGTGCCGAGTCCCACCGCTACAAGAGGTGCCGAGTCCCACCGCTACACGAGGTGCCGAGTCCCACCGCTACAAGAGGTGCCGAGTCCCACCGCTACAAGAGGTGCCGAGTCCCACCGCTACAAGAGGTGCCGAGTCCCACCGCTACAAGAGTTGCCGAGTCCCACTGCTACAAGAGGTGCCGAGTCCCACCGCTACAAGAGGTGCCGAGTCCCACCGCTACAAGAGGTGCCGAGTCCCACCGCTACACGAGGTGCCGAGTCCCACCTCTACACGAGGTGCCGAGTCCCACTACTACAAGAGGTGCCGAGTCCCACCGCTACACGAGGTGCCGAGTCCCACCGCTACACGAGGTGCCGAGTCCCACCACTACAAGAGGTGCCGAGTCCCACCACTACAAGAGGTGCCGAGTCCCACCGCTACAAGAGGTGCCGAGTCCCACCGCTACACAAGGTGCCGAGTCCCACCGCTACACGAGGTGTGTCGAGTCCCACCGCTACAAGAGGTGCCCAGTCCCACCACTACAAGAGGTGCCCAGTCCCACCACTACAAGAGGTGCCGAGTCCCACCACTACAAGAGGTGCCGAGTCCCACCGCTACACGAGGTGCCGAGTCCCACCGCTACAAGAGGTGCCGAGTCCCACCGCTACAAGAGGTGCCGAGTCCCACCGCTACAAGAGGTGCCGAGTCCCACCAGCCAAAGGGTGCCCAGGCATGCTGGCATTTGTAGTTTACAGCTAGCCAGGTCCCCATATTCCCAGCATGGCTGCGGGGCAGAGGACATGCTGTTGAACCAAATCCTATCACTAGATGCCTTCTGGGATTTGTAGTTCACCAGCTGGGACCACTGATGACTGGTAGCTGGCCGTGCTGTAGGGACTGGTGATGGATTGAACACAGTGAGATAATTCAGTCCTTACCGTGAGTCGCTGACACCATGAACTGCGAGAAGATGAATGGCAGAGCCCAGACCATCGGAGAATCCATCCTCAGCCTCTCCATGGGGTGCCTGAAAGAGAAATGCACGTGCCGTAATCCTCCCAGATCTCATCCTCGGCACACCGTGCCCCTCACCGACAAAGGAGGAGGAGTTCAGCGTGCCGCTGGGAGCAATCCTACATCCACTCTTACCTTCCAGACTTCTCCTTCTTCCCTGGAGCTCCCTTCCACAATCACTGACCCCCCTCCCCCCCCCAGAACACTCTTTTATAACTCCCCTATTCCAGCATACGATGAGATTCCGCTTCCCCTACTCTCTGCCGGAGCGCCTACCGTCACCCCGAGCGCCTACCGTCACCCCGAGCGCCTACCGTCACCCCGAGAGCCTACCGTCACCCCGAGAGCCTACCGTCACCCCGAGATCCTACCGTCACCCTGAGAGCGTACCGTCACCCCGAGCGCCTACCGTCACCCCGAGAGCCTACCGTCACCCCGAGAGCCTACCGTCACCCCGAGAGCGTACCGTCACCCCGAGCGCCTACCGTCACCCCGAGAGCCTACCGTCACCCCGAGAGCGTACCGTCACCCCGAGCGCCTACCGTCACCCCGAGAGCCTACCGTCACCCCGAGAGCGTACCGTCACCCCGAGAGCCTACCGTCACCCCGAGAGCGTACCGTCACCCCGAGAGCGTACCGTCACCCTGAGCGCCTACCGTCACCCTGAGATCCTACCGTCACCCCGAGAGCCTACCGTCACCCCGAGAGCGTACCGTCACCCCGAGAGCCTACCGTCACCCTGAGATCCTACCGTCACCCCGAGAGCCTACCGTCACCCCGAGCGCCTACCGTCACCCCGAGCGCCTACCGTCACCCCGAGAGCCTACCGTCACCCCGAGAGCGTACCGTCACCCCGAGCGCCTACCGTCACCCCGAGAGCCTACCGTCACCCCGAGAGCCTACCGTCACCCCGAGAGCGTACCGTCACCCCGAGAGCCTACCGTCACCCCGAGAGCGTACCGTCACCCTGAGAGCGTACCGTCACCCCGAGAGCCTACCGTCACCCCGAGAGCGTACCGTCACCCCGAGCGCCTACCGTCACCCCGAGAGCCTACCGTCACCCCGAGAGCGTACCGTCACCCCGAGAGCGTACCGTCACCCCGAGCGCCTACCGTCACCCTGAGAGCCTACCGTCACCCCCGAGCGCCTACCGTCACCCCGAGAGCCTACCGTCACCCCGAGAGTACCGTACCCACCCCGAGAGCGTACCGTCACCCCGAGCGCCTACCGTCACCCTGAGATCCTACCGTCACCCCGAGAGCCTACCATCACCCCGAGAGCCTACCGTCACCCCGAGAGCCTACCGTCACCCCGAGCGCTTACCCCCCCCCCCCCCGAGAGCCTACCGTTACCCCGAGAGCCTACTGTCACCCCGAGAGCGTACCGTCACCCCGAGAGCCTACCGTCACCCCGAGAGCGTACCGTCACCCCGAGAGCCTACCATCACCCCGAGAGCGTACCGTCACCCCGAGAGCCTACCGTCACCCCGAGAGCGTACCGTCACCCCGAGAGCCTACCGTCACCCCGAGCGCCTACCGTCACCACGAGAGCCTACCGTCACCCCGAGAGCGTACCGTCACCCCGAGAGCCTACCGTCACCCCGAGCGCCTACCGTCACCACGAGAGCCTACCGTCACCCCGAGCGCCTACCGTCACCCCGAGAGCCTACCGTCACCCCGAGCGCTTACCCCCCCCCCCTGAGAGCCTACCATTACCCAGAGAGCCTACTGTCACCCCGAGCGCCTACCGTCACCCCGAGAGCGTACCGTCACCCCGAGAGCCTACCGTCACCCCGAGAGCGTACCGTCACCCCGAGAGCGTACCGTCACCCCGAGAGCGTACCGTCACCCTGAGAGCCTACCGTCACACCGAGAGCGTTCCATCACCCCGAGAGCCTACCGTCACCCCGAGAGCCTACCGTCACCCCGAGAGCGTACCGTCACCCCGAGAGCCTACCGTCACCCCGAGCGCCTACCGTCACCACGAGAGCCTACCGTCACCCCCGAGAGCCTACCGTCACCCTGAGCTCCTACCGTCACCCTGAGCTCCTACCGTCACCCTGAGAGCCTACCATTACCCAGAGAGCCTACTGTCACCCCGAGAGCCTACCGTCACCCCGAGAGCGTACCGTCACCCCGAGAGCCTACCGTCACCCCGAGAGCCTACCGTCACCCTGAGCTCCTACCGTCACCCTGAGCTCCTACCGTCACCCTGAGAGCCTACCGTCACCCTGAGAGCGTACCGTCACCCTGAGCATCGCATACCCATCCCTGTCCTTCCTGTCTATATCCCCACTCCTCTCACTTGTGTTCTCGCTCCGCTCGCTCGGCTCGCGCTGCTGCTGCGTTCTGCATCTCGGTGTTCTCTGTGATTTGCAGTTTATGGTTTTGTTTCCAGAACTTTTATCTGCATTGTAGCACTTCGTACAGAACGCGGGGTGACGGGTTCAAGGATGAGCTGCGGGATGTATTATTTATTATATTATAGCGCCAAAGTCATTTGTAGTGCCAAAGGGACCACATACCCGGGTTCTACCAACGTTACCGACAAAAAACACAAACCGCCTCATAATACTGCCCAAAAGGGATCATCATCATTATCATCATCATCATTATTATTGTTATTATTATTGTTATTATTATTATTATTATTATTACTATTATCATCATTATTATTATTATTATTGTTATTATTACTATTATCATCATCATCATTATTATTATTACTATTATCATCATTATTTTTATTATTATTGTTATTATTATTACTATTATCGTTGTTATTATTAATATTATTAGTAATAATAACAATAATAATAATGATAACGATAATAGTAATAATAACAATAATGATGATGATGATAATAATAGCAAATATAGTAATGCAATATAACTAATGATAATAAAATACAAATTAATAGTAAGAAATAATAAATAAAAATAAGAAATAATAATATATAAAATATGACTAATAATAAAACACAACAAATATTATTATACAGTATCACAATTAATAATAACAATAATAATAATATATTATTATTGTAAATAAGAAATAACATAAGATTGTATAATAATAATAATAATAATAGCAACTATAGTAACACTAAACAAAACAAACAGTTATAAAATCTAACTAAATATATTTAAAATAAAATAAATTAAAATAAAAAATATATACATTTCTAATAAAAAAAAAAATAACTAGTAATAATTACAAAAATAATTATTATATACTGCCACAGCAAAGCCCGTGACCATCGCACTCACCTTGACTGCTCCCCCTACAAAGGACGGGTCGGGGGGTTCGTTATTCCTTTCGAAGTTCTGCTTTCAGATCCGATCCCGACGTGTGAATGGGAAGCAGATTGTCAGACCAGAAGACGCCCAGATATTGCAGACGGGTCCCCCAGGACGTAGGTGGCTCTATTCTGATGAGGAGGTGTTGGCAGCCTCCAGACGAGGAGGAATCGGTGTCCGGGGATTGGGGGGAACAAGCCGACAGGCAGGTCTGTGATGCCGCCTGACTCCGTCTCCATCCGCTCTCCTGCAGCCAGGAATCATTCCCAACAAATGTACGAAATCCTCAGCCTGCTGCATCTACGCCTCCAACATCGCTGACAGACATTCACAAAGCAGCTCAGAAAACATGAAGTGGATTGTAAATGTATGTAAAACAGCAACAATAATAATAATAACAATAATAATAACAATAATAATAATAATAATAATAACAATAATAATAATAACAATAATAATCATAATAATAATAATAATCATAATAATAATCATAATAATAATAATAATAACAATAAAAATAATAATATTAATAATGATAATAATAATGATAATAAATAATAATAACAATAATAATAACAATAATAATAATAATGATGATAATAATAATAATAACGATAATAATAATAATGATGATAATAATAATAATAATAACGATAATAATAATAATGATGATAATAATAATAATAATAACGATAATAATAATAATGATGATAATAATAATAATTATGATAATAATAATGATGATAATAATAATAATGATAATTATGATAATAATAATGATGATAATAATAATGATAATGATGATAATAATATTAATAATAATAATGATGATAATAATAATAATAATATTAATAATAATAATGATGATAATAATAATAATGATAATAATAACAATAATAAATAATGATAATAATACTAATAATAAATCTACCTGTAAATCTCCCGCGTGGCGCCCTCACCATGGAAATGAGGCGTTTTTTCTGCTCGCACAGTCGGGGAGAAGGATCCACGGATTGATGACGATCATACATGTCACCAGAGCTGCCCAACCAAACGCTGGAATCATCTCTGTGCCGGCAAATAATTAAACATTTAATGGACGGCGGTAGTTAGTGGCTCTCGGGGTAAGAGCACTGTGGCTGTGCGTTCGCAGTGTTCTATCCAATACGGCTCGGCCACACGTGGCGGCAAACTCCGTGTTGTAGAGCCAAAAGGGAATAGCGTGCAGGACACTTTTTTTGCTTCACAGTTGCTGAGCAGTTAGAAGTGGAAAATGAATTTTTTTGGGGCGGTTGTTTTATTTTAGGGTCGGTGTCGGGGCGGTCAGGGAGGACAGGGCAGTCAGGGCAGTAAGGGTTTCAGGGCAGTCTGGGCGGTCAGGGTGATCAGGGCGATCAGGGAGGTCAGGGCAGTCAGGGCGGTCAGGGTGTCAGGGCAGTCAGGGCGATCAGGGAGCTCAGGGCAGTCAGGGAGTCAGGGCGGCCAGGGTGTCAGGGCGGTCAGGGTGTCAGGGTGTCGGCAGGCAGTCAGGGTGTCGGGGCGGTCAGGGTGTCAGGGCGGTCAGGGTGTCGGGGGCGGTCAGGGTGTCAGGGGCGGTCAGGGTGTCGGGCGGTCAGGGTGTCGGGGCGGTCAGGGAGGTCAGGGCGGTCAGGGTGTCAGGGTGTCAGGGCAGTCAGGGTGTCGGGGGGCGGTCAGGGTGTCGGGGGG